ACGCACCTGGATCAAAGTGGGAGTCTTCAACCTCAGTTCTCCTAGGGTTTCCCTCACTAACGGATCTAGGCGATCGGGAACATAGTGTTCCCATGCGTTTTCCCAATGAGTGAATTGACTCGGTGATTCCTAAAACATCCTCAGTCCGACTGCTGGCAATTACCTTAAGATAGCTCGAACTTTACCTTCGTCTTCCTTCTTATTACGAACCACTCATCCTTGTACTTACTTTTCTCCCAAAACTGGCTACATAGTGGTGTGCGAAGGTCGGGTCTGGACTCCAGAAGGTTGAATTCTGGTCGGGAACATTCTAAAAACTGAGATTGATAACCGGAGCTACACCATGCTAAAAGGCACTTTTCACGATGGAAGGAAGAGGGTGTTAGGGCTCAAATAAGAACTTGCCGATCCTAAATGACATAATATGAGTGAAAAAAGCAAAACAGTCGAAAGCGGTCGAAGTGAGATCCCTTTAGGTATTTACGAGTTTATTAGCGTTCGAACGGGCTATCCGAATGCTCTAGTTTATGCCAAAAAAGGATATTGTAGGTCGCTCCTTCGACGTATCTCGGCGAACTTCCAGGAGCGCTTTTCGAGAAAAATGTAACTTCGTTCTACGCTCCTTCGCTATGTTAAAGCTCCTTTGAAAAGCGAAGGGGTGGAGCCTCAGGTGGGGGCGGGTGTCACACAAATCACAAGCCCAATGCGCCCTTGTCGCACAATTTTGAACGGTGAAGGTCATGCGTCCCATACAACTACGGACCTGTACACTTCACATGCGGAAAGTACTCAACAAATTGGTGGTCGGGAAATGTGCTTTTGAAGGACGAATTCGAAAGATAGAAAATGAAATTACCTATAAAGCACATGTGGCCAGGTGGAATAGGTTCTTTTGACTGCAACCTCTCAAGCTGTTCACGTTTCTTTTTGGAAAGGGCAACTGGTATGCTTAGTTCCTTCATCTTCTGAGCCGGTTCCGCTCTTTCAAAGTCGACATCTTTCGGGCGGGTTAGTCGCTCAACCGGAATGTCGGTGCGTTGAATTGAACCAAACTGAAATAAGATCATAAAATCTATGGATTTAAATATGCAAAGCAGGAAACATACCTTATCACCAGTGAGTTTAATGGGCCGAGGCCGAGCAGAAGCAAATGCTCTGCAAACGCACACCATGGAACGGGTTGTCGCCATTTCCCATTTTATTCGTTCACAGTTCGATGGTGGTCAAAATTTGCTTCAGCAGAGTCGGGTTCTCATCTATTTGTTTATTTCTAAAGAAAGCGCATTGGGTTGTAAACGTGATCAGTATGTTCAGTGTCATGATAAAAAAACAGTAAATGATGTCAACGTAGTTGGGGGGGGGTAAGGATCACTCGGCCAGCGCCTCTGTATTCCTTCCCCTCATCAAGCTTCTCTGCGGAGAATTCTTCTCTGCGGCACTATCTCTGGATGAATCTGATCGTCTGCGCTCTATGCTGAGCTATATTCGGGAAGGGGCTCGGTCGATGGGCCTCACTCCCCCCCACCTCCAACTGTTAGTGCCCAATAAATCCTGTCAATTGTTACTGCACAAATAAAGTGGCTCGTTATGCAGTATCCAAAGCGTTGCTCCAATATGATGGGGCTTTCTGGTGCAGGAAAAGCTTCTACGCTTCGGCAAATTCTTTTACTAATTCCATTATGTAAAAGCAATATCCACTCAGTTCCTCTTTGTAGTTACTAATGGTTACTTGTGGGAAATTGGGATTACCGTAAGCCAAAGAACTACTGCACCATAATGCCCCGCTAAAGCAGAACAGGCCCTATCCAAATACCAGTAGAAATAAAATACGTGTTCAAAGTCCACCAATTACGACAAGGTTCCCAGCACTCAGCTAGAGCTCGGGGGATTACTCGCCACACGCATCGTATCCCTTCTTCTAACAAAGGCCCAGGGTCAGTGAAGACTACGTCTTCTCTACGGAAATATCTCTCCGCGACCCTCGGTCGTCTGCGCTCTGACCGTGAATCTTTTTGAGGAAAACCTATAGCGGCCAGTGGTGTTCCCCACCCCTCTCCAACTACCTTAACGACAAACCCGATTCCGTAGACCCACAACGAACGAGATATTGACTCGAGAAATTCGACAGAAAAAGTTTAATTACACTAGTTTACTAACAAATAACAGAAAACACTGGACAATCGGAGCAGTAAAGACAGTCGGTCTAGGGTAATGCAGAGCCCGCAAGCCAAGGCCGCAGGTGTGAGGACATGCCAAGCAGCAAGCGCGCTCCAGTCCGAGACAATTTGAGGACGAGTTTTCCCAGTCACTTTACGTTTTTGGCGGTAATGTTGAAATAATTCAATCTCATTTCTGCCGAAGGGTTTTCAGTTGTCTATTTGCAGAGTATGAAGAAGAGGAGAAGAGAAGAAGGTAGGAATAGTTAGACAACAATATTGCGTTCATTTTATTATTAGCTATTAATGAGATGACATGTTCTAGAGCTAAGAAAGGAGATTGCGAGAACTACGGATGAAAC